TTGTAGTTTTGGAACCTGCTGCGCGAATGATTTTTTCAGATAAGCGGCCGAACCATATCTCCTCAGATCTTTTAGCCACGAGTTCTGGCGTCTTCCTACTAATTTTTTGCCCTGTACTTTTCCTTCCAGTATAACTTGAAGTAATTCATATCTTTCACCTCTCAGCACATGACCTTAAGTATTGCATTTTCGTCTCTTTGATTATGCTTTTGCTGAATATCTACACCATTTTTATCTTTTCCACAAAAATGATAAGGACGAAAATTGTTGCAAGTGCTATTCAGGGGGGAAATAGTGGAAGGGGAATAAACAAAAATGAAGGTAATTATATTTTACAGAATTTTGATCTCTTTTTATTTTTTGCTAAAATCAATATTTGAGGTCTTACGTATGCTCCCATCCTACGACCTCTCCTCCGACATGAAATCCCTCATCCACTTCACATCCATACTTCTATTCAACGCCTTCCCTGAAAAGAGAAGTGCAATCTCCTTCTACCTAAACCAAATTTCCAATTCAATGTATGGATGTGCCATAGCCACCTCATGCACCAATAACCTAGTTAAACAAACCTTGACCCACCTCCACATTTAAATATCACACTTCATACACAAACACATATTCACACATATACTAATTACACCAAACACAACACTTTACCTATCACAGCTCACAATCCAAATTAATAAACACCTAATCCCACACCCTAACAACATACCCAAAGTCCAAATCAATAAACATACAAAACTACACACACACACAACACTACACTGTGAGCACCCAACACACTCCTTAAGAGTCGAATAAATTTATACAAGGACAGGGGGAGATTGGTTTTCTGTGGTTTCCCAATCTCATTGCACAATGATATCTGATCCTAGGTGAGGTCATAGCCACAGCTACCCTCCACGCGTTTTTCCAACAAACAAACAATGGCCAACAATCTGAAAGGAATCGTTTTCCAAAGAACTTGTACTTCGTGACAGGCTTGGTGGGCCTGACTAACTCTCCCGGAAGCCGTACATCCGCCTCTTGCCTTCTTCTTGTTCTCGGCCCCCATCCTATCCTATCCTCCACCACCCTCTTGACCTTTCAGCTCTTTAGCGGCGGCGCCCTTAGTCTTCGGAGTCCCATTGAAGTCATACGAGCGAAAGCTAGCATTTCAAACCAAACAAGCATTAGCATCCAACAAACAAACCCACCCTTGAAGAAGCATAGAGCTTAAAGCAAGGTTAAAACGCATCGACTTACGTATGCGGTAAAGGTGCGAGCGTAAGACCTTGCGCGTATTGGTTATTCAAGTAATTTCGACATAACATGGTTAGGACTTGAATTGTTGTAATCGAGATTTCGCACAATTTCTTCTTTGCAAATTTATTCATGCCGTCGATATTTTCCGAGTTAAGGGGGGAAATAGTGACACAGCTTAATTATTAAATTATTTTGTTTATTATTAATTTTACGCGACATAAATATGCATAAAATATATAAAGAATTATATTTAATACAATTTTGATTAGTCCAGGAGATGACCGTAAAAATAGTAGAAAACCACTGAACAGTAGTTAAAAAATAACAAATAGGATAGTTTTTTTTTTGGAGTAATTCATGACTGTAAGTTTCCAAATTACAAGTCAAAAAAGCATGTTTTTAAATAGTTTTTCTCGAATAACTCAAGAAAACGGTTTGGATATCAAATTAAGCTTATAAAACAAAGAGACTCGCTTTTTATTATAACCATAAACTTATTATTAACAAAATTATGGCTGTTCGAGAGTATTTTTCGTTCGACTTTTATTTATCGAATACGAAAATTCAAAAATAGGATATTAAATAACAGTAAAATGGTAAGTTTTTATAATTATTATTATTTTTTAAATACCTCAACAACTAAAAAAGATACAGGAGAAATGTGAGTATATAAAAAACAGCTTTTTTACTGATGATTTTATTTTTTATTTCGATGGACTGAAAATTAAACTAGATATGATTGTTTAAAGATTTTATTCACATGGGTTTAGCACTACCTTCAAGCCCTTTACGCGCAACTCTTTTTAAAAACGAAGGGATTAAATAAAATATAATATACGTCACTTTGTAGCTTTTAAAATAAAGTATATATAAAAACTATATAACCTTCAAGGCCACTTCAGAGTCAATGAGACACAACGATTTCTGTATAATCGGGACAGGATATAAATAACCGGATATAAATCAGGATAGAGGCTTGCTTCATAGACTTTAAAAAAGCTTTTGACAGAGTTCAACATGAAAAGCTTTTGAGTACTCTTAAGACCAAAAACATAGATAGTAGAGATCTACAAATTATATCGAACCTGTATCAAAATCAGAAAGCAAGACTAAGAGTCGAAGGAGAACTGACAGAGGAAGTAAGTATACTTAGAGGAGTTCGACAAGGGTGCATACTTTCATTACTTAACGTCAACAGTAAAGTGATATTTCAAGAAGCTTTATTGGATATTGTGGAAGATATTTTGGTCAACGGAAATAGCATTATTAATATTAGTCATGCGGACCATACGGTCATATTTGCAAGTGACATGGAAGATCTACAGTACATAATATAACATGTATACAATGCATGTGAAAAGTACGGACTGCAAATGAATCTCAAGAAAACGAAATTAATGATATTCTCAAAAAACTACAAAATGTAGACAACCTGATCATCAATAATACAACGATCGAAAGAGTAACAACATATAAATATTTAGCAACGTGGCTAACCGAAGATGGAGATCAAACAAAAGAAATCAGATCTAGCAAAGAAATGGCAAGAAACGTGTTCGTAAAATTGAAGAACTTACTTTGCAACCGTAACCTTAATCTAGAGATCCGCACAAGAATGCTACGTTGTTACGATTTTTCTACTTTACTATACTACATGGAAGCGTGGACAATAAAACAGTGTGAAGTCAAAAAATTTAACTCCTTTTGGATGTGGTGCTATAGGAGAATCCACAGAATATCGAGGACTAAAAAATTAACTAATATAGAGGTGTTACAAAAAATGAAGAAAGAATGTGAAGTCATAAAAACTGTGATGAGATCCGCACAAGAATGCTACGTTGTTACGATTTTTCTACTTTACTATACTACATGGAAGCGTGGACAATAAAAGAGTCTGAAGTCAAAAAATTAAACTCCTTTTGGATGTGGTGCTATAAGAGAATCCACAGAATATCGTGGACTAAAAAATTAACTAATATAGAGGTGTTACAAAATATGAAGAATGAATGTGAAGTCATAAAAACTTTTAAAATTAGAAAGATTCAATATCTGGGTCATATAATGCGAAGCGAGAAGTACCTATTATTTAGGTTAATTATGCAATGGAAGATACAAGGGAAGAGAAATCCAGGACGACACAAAATATCCTGACTTAGAAATTTGAGGAAGTGAATTTTTTTTGATTGCAGAAAGCGTACCATTCGATATACCAATTTTGTTTTAGACTTTTCTTGTTATTTCACATTTATCTAGCCAAGTTATTTCTAATCCTTTAAGATTGCATCTTTAGCAAAAAAATCTGCTTTGCTTTTACCTAAAATACCAAAGTTCCCCTTCACCCAGATAAAAGATACAGAAGTATGTTCTTCCAGTAGCTTTAGTTGGTTTTCTTAAATTTTAGCAACAAGACAATTTTTATATAAATTATGTTAATGCGAGTTTTCTAAAACTAAGACCGCAGACCTTGAAGCTGACATAATTACAATTGAGGGTTATACATTTTTTTGTTGACAGCTTATGCTAAAGCTTAATAAATTGTAAATATTTGTGCAAAGTATATGGAGCATCGTTTTTCTAACTTGAAGATTACTGATTCTTAGTGGTCCAGAATATATGCAGCACAACTGACTCCCAATTTTGGATTTTGAATTTTCGCTCTCTGATGTTGAACTCAATTAGATTCTCATTGTCAAAATTCGGGAAACAAACATTGACTTTGGCATACTAGATATTGAAATTCGATTGAAAAAAAAAGATCATTCACCTTGAGAAGTGTGAAGAAACGTCACTGCTAAAATCGGAGAATAAGTGGACTATCAGAGATCGATTGAAGCCGTTAGATTAGTTTCATGGAAGAGAGCTAGTCTCTCGATATGAACTACCTTGGGTATACGTCTAGCTGAAAACTGGATGCGGCAGATTACGTCATTTATTTTCTGCAGGACGGTGTACGGGCCTTTCCAGTTTTGTTGAAGTTTTGGACAAAGTTCTTTTTTACGTATGGGATTGCATTGGATCATCTCTTTCAAAAGTTGTACCAGTAGCAAGCCTGGCTCTATCACTTTACGTCTTCAAACTTTTACAAGCAAATTTGTAAACTTTTTTCAATTTCTCTTTTAAAAATTTCAATGTATGTCAGGGATGAATGTTTTTCTTCCCAGGGAGGCAATATTCCGGAAACAAGGTCTTGAGCAAGCTTCATTTTTGTTTCGGTGATCATCGTCGATGGAAAATAAACAGTTGCTTCATGTTAGCAACTTTTATAGGCTAACAGGAATAGAGGAATTAAAATATCCCAATATTTTTAATTATCAGCGATGATCATAAAAAGGTATTAAAAACAGTTTTGTTATGTCTTTTGATCATTCCGTCTGATTAAATTTTTTTATCATCTACGTCTAATATGGTGCTCTAGACTTAATAACCAAAGGCAGCCAATTGTAAAAAGATAAACTAATAGCTACTAATAAATACCCCAAGTAAACTGTTTTGACACTTGTTTATACTAATCGGTACGAGCTTCTTGTATTGATTGTCAAAGTATGTCGATAGTGTCGATATTGCTAGTTGGTTGATATATATTGATTGTAGCATCGATTTACATCGCAATAATATAAAAATGTATGTCATAACAGTGTCCATGGTTTAATTTTTGTTCTAATTGAATGTTTGAAGACAATATAAATAATATTCATAAAATAAAAGTCTACCATTTGTCTATATTCTTAAATACTTAACTACCTACTTACCCTAATACGTTTTCCAAACGCAGAATAAAATGTAACATTAGCAGTTGATTTATTTCCTGTGTTTTGATTAAACACTTGACACTTGCTGTAAGGAGGACAATATAAGTGTAAACTAATTGCTGTATCAACACTGGATACGTTTTCAACTCTGTGAAGACCAATAGAATCTGAAACAAAAATATGCAGTGAAGAACTCAAAATTAACATTTCTCTTCAAAGAAAAATTAATTTCCTGTAGTAGGCTGTACACCATAAATTTTATTTTAAAAATCCTTTATAAAAGTTATAATAATATAAAAATCCCATCGGGCATACAGAAGACTTTCGGAATAACTATTTTATCACCGCTGTTTTTTTGGTTTGCATATTTGTAGCCACTAAATCTCTGGGTAAAAACCTTTTAAATACAGTTAAATTAATTTTAAGTTACATTTTTGCTGACGAAAATCTAGGATGTTTAAGTCATAGAGGGAATTTTCTTCATGGTAACGTAGCACTGCAATACTAGAGTTCTCAGGCCCTTAGACGTGTCTGTGAGTACTTGTCTATCAACTAAAGTGCTATCAACAAGTCATGAAAAACTTATAGAAACTGTTTTGGAGATCTTAAGAAAACCTTTAAAATGACCAATAGTAAAAGTGGTTTACATGAAAATTAAGATAAGTTGTATCTAAAATCACGTCCGCTTATAGTTTTTGTGACGCAGTAACAAATTTACAGCCGCCAAAACCACCCTGATTAAAAGTATTAGCTTTTCATTTACAATTTACTTCATTTATATACAAGAAATATATTCTAAAAGTTGATTTAGACGGTTTAGTTTTAAAAAATGTTTAAAAAAAAGTTTAAAATAAAGACACTATTTTCGATTCTTTTTAAAAATTCCCTTTTTTCAAAAAAAAAAAACAAATGCTCCCTAATTTTTATGTCGATGTCTTTATATTTCGCTTTTGTTGAGGATCTCATGCCACACTGGGGCCCCCATATAGTAAGATGAACATGATTAATTGTAGGTTAACTGATCTTTTGTGTGACCCGGTGCATCCTATATTCGGCATTATCTTATTCAGGGTCGAGGTCCTCTCCTTCCTACATGCCTCTTGTATGTGGTGTCTAATATCATTTTGTCATCTAGTATGATTCATAAGTATTTTACGGTCTTCCTCTGAACCGAAAATTTACATTTTCTCTTTATCCAGTGATCCTCTCAAGATGATTACTTCTGTCTTTTCTACTCCAAGTTCTTGGTCCTTTCTCTCTATGTATCTCGCAAGTCTTTCTATTGTTTCATTTACTTTGTTTATAATACCTAAAATTATATTTTCTATAAGTAGGGCTAGGTCGTCTGTGTATGCAATAGCCCTTACTTCTTGTGTTTTGTTTACTTGTAGTACCCCGTTGTATAAAATATTTCATAGTGTGGGACTCAGGACTGACCATTCGGGTACTCCAGCAGTCGTTTTTGTCTTATTTTTCTTCGATATGCATACTCTTCTTTGTGATAAGTAGTATGATAGTACGTAGTAGATAGGTGCTTTATTATATTGGACACATATTCCGGGGTACCAAGTTTGACAATCTTGTCTACATGAGACCCCAGTTGAACTGAAGGCTGAATTAAAGGCGTTTTTAATGTCCAATAAAATAAGAACCACCCATTTCTTTTTGCTTGTGTTCACCGCGTTTCTTATCCAGATCGTGGCGTCGACTGCTGATCATTTTTTTCTGCATCCATATTGTTGGTTGGATAGAGCTCTCTTATCTGCCAACACGCTTTCCAGCCTTTTTCTTGACAATATTCTCATAGACCTTGCCAACGTAGTCCAGAAGGCATATTGGGCTATAAGAGGATGCTGAATCGGGGGGTTTCCAGGCTTTAGGAGCAAAATCAGATTTGCTTGCTTTAGTTCGATAGGAAACTCTTGCTTCCGCAGTAGATCGTTATATGTTTTTCTAATCAAACCTGATTTCATTGTTGTTGCTATCTTTTGTGCCTCCCGTAGCATTCCATCGGGGTCGGGAGCTTTCCCCGTCTTGATTTCATGACCAGCGGTCTTTATTTCTTGTTCTGTAATTATTCCTCCACCGCGGAGGTGGTAGTAGTAAATAAGCAAATATGTTATGAGTACTTAAGTAAATTGGTAAATGACGAACACCCGAGAAGATACAGAGGATGCAAGATCCCAAATGAGAATGTAATACCAGGGATAGCGAGAGATGAAGTTGTCGAGGCGTTAAATAGGGCGAAGAATGGTATGGCAGTAGGACTTTATGGAATACCTGTGAAGATTTCTAAGACTCTAGGAGAGGAAGGAGTTGATATTTTTTGTGGCACATGATGAGTGGGATATATAAGGAAGAAAGGATGTTCAATGCATAAAGAGTGTGATGGTAAAATTGTATAAAGATAAGGGAGAAATTCAAGACTTTCTGAAACTGGGAGAGAAATTTACATCAAAGGTAAAGAAGAAAGACATCGTTAGGAGAAGAACAGTTTGGGTTTAGGACAGGAAGAAGGACAATGGATGTCTTGTTTGCGTTGAGACAATTGATAGAGAAATACAGCGAATAAAAAAGAGAGTTTATATTTGATATTTATAAAGTTGCGGCTATGACATCCATATATGGATTTACATGATTCCAAATTTAAATTATGTTGTGACTCTAGGTCAATGACATTGGATTAAATTTAATACTTTAGGAGCTACATATCTCCCTGCGCGGTTTTTAACACGTGGTACTTGTCAGTTAAAACGACACAGACCAACTGTTAAACGGTTAAAATTTGAAGCAAATCCATGCAAAAAAATTCTGAGCAGAATATCCCACATAGCCTGTTACACAATTTCGAGAGGAGTCCTTAATTAAATTTTAATGGAATTATAAATGCTTACCGTTAATATAGGCGCAATCATTAACTTCTAAACGTGTTCGACCGATTTCTCTTAGCTGTTCACCCTGAGATTTTGGCCACGCAAATCGAATTTCTTCTAATGATCCCTGTAGCATTTTCATAAAACAGTGAGAATTTGCGTGGTCGTGAATAGCTGAGCCGTGCCCTTCACCCCAACAAACAGCCATTAAATTGTATTTTCCATTTCCAGCATCGACTAAGTTTCTGGTGTAT